TGAATTTTCTTGACCTCAAATAGTTTTTATTTTTCAGGCTTTGAGGGGTTTCTTTTTGGTGGTTAATGAAGTTCTTTTTTTGACTCAGAACTGGATTTGAGGAGGACAAAAATTTCCAGGTTGTTTTAGATTCAGTTATAGCTGGACGATATCAAGTAACTGAGTATCTTGGATCTGCTGCATTCAGCAAAGCAGTTCAAGCACATGATCTTCATACAGGCATGGATGTCTGTGTGAAGATTATAAAGAACAACAAAGATTTTTTTGATCAGAGTCTTGATGAAATAAAGCTTCTCAAATTTGTCAACAAGCATGATCCTGCCGACAAGTACCACCTACTTCGGTTGTATGATTACTTCTATTATCGAGTAAGTGAAAATTTGTATCTTTACAGACTTTGTAAAAATCTCAATTTAGTTTTACATCGTCGAAATGACTTTTAGCAATGTAGAGAGATCTGCCAGTACAGTCAGCAAGATACATCTTGAGTGTGCACAGTTTTCTTCATCATTCTCCCACATTGTTCTTCTTGCTTGTATAGATGTTGAAGGTAACCTTAAGTTCATAAGTTTCTCATCAGACTTAAAATGATGTTACCCAGATCATCTTATTGACTTTCCCCTCTTATCTAAAACATCTAAGTCCTTGTAAAACTAGATAGTTTTGAACCTTGAGAATAAACTTCAACAGTGTGTTATGTGTAAGCTCAACCCTGATACAGTCTGCTCGCTCAAGAGAGGCGAGCATGTCTAAACATCTAGTTGATTTTGTGAGTTTTTATCAATAAGTTGATAAAGTCTTGACTAAGTGAAAAGCTTGTGCTTTGCACTTGATGCTAATTGATAGTTGTGGCTGACATCTTCGGCCAATCTTAATATGACAGTTTGAAAATAATATTTTCTGTAATCAATACGAAGTGGGAAGAAATGTTGATGTGCACTTGGATGTGCCTCTTGAGCTTGTGCAATACTATCGTATACATTACATTTATGTATTATTCTTAATGTAAGCAGAAGAAACTTTTGGTCATGAAAATTTGACACTGATCTTTGTGTCTGTTTTCAGGAACATTTGTTAATTGTATGTGAACTACTGAAGGCCAATCTGTATGAGTTCCATAAATTTAATAGAGAATCTGGTGGAGAAGTCTACTTTACTATGCCAAGACTGCAGGTTTGTTGGATCAAAATATTTATAGCGATTTGATGCTAATGATACTTTATGTGGTCAATTTCATATGAATCTGTTGTGCAGTCAATCACTATTCAGTGTTTAGAGGCTCTTCAGTTCTTGCATGGCCTTGGGCTCATACATTGTGATTTGAAGCCTGAAAACATATTGGTGAAAAGCTACAGTAGATGTGAGGTGAAGGTAATTGATCTGGGTAGCAGTTGCTTCGAAACAGATCATCTTTGTTCTTATGTCCAGTCAAGATCCTACCGTGCACCAGAAGTTATTTTGGGGCTTCCTTATGATAAAAAGATAGACGTCTGGTCCCTTGGCTGCATCTTGGCAGAACTTTGCACGGGCAATGTAAGTTTTTTTGTTACGCATTTTATATATTGATTGTTATCTGTATATATTTATTGTCAGTATGAATTTATAGTGGGTTTTATTGTCCATTATGCCATGCATTGTGGTAGTTCTTGAAGTGCTTATTCACTTTTTCATTTTGATCCCTTCCCCTTTCTTCTGGATTTATGAATTTGGTAAATCAAAATTTATGCAACACATAATTATTTCATGAAGTTAGCTCTAGAGCTTTGGTCTAGTGGTAAGAGCGTAGCGTGTGATATATGGGTTAGGCGCACGCCAAGGGTTCGGACCTTGCTGCAAATGAAAGCCTGATATTTATCTGGAGAAGGGTACAAGAGCGGACCCCTTATTTACCGAGTTTTGAACCATGCGCCGCTAGCCCTCAGGGATTTCTCAGTTATTAAAGAAATTATGTCTTGGAGTTGCTATTGGCTCCAAACCTTTCAGAAGCTCCCTAGTAACTGCTGGCAAGTGGCATGTAATCCTAATATGAAATAAGTTTGTTTGGAGGACATTGAGAGACCATTCTTCGATCTTGCTACTTAATCCTATCTTATGTTAGAATCACAAGAAACCAATATCCAACTTGCAGAAGAATGTTTCTCTAGACGAGTAAATCGTTTATGTTTTACTTTATTAGCTTTTGGGTTTGATATTGCTTTTCCACTGAGAATCTTCAGAAGGACTAACGACCTTGTGGTAAAGCAAAATTCTGACAGTGGCATGCCTAATGTAATTAGATGGAGTTAAGTAACGCGTTAGGGAACTTTATATTTCGTTCAAGTATCAATTTTTCCCTTTGTTAGACAACAAATGTTTTTGCCAATTAAAACTCTTGCATTAACAGGCATAAATAGTTGATAACACGTGTATTGTAATACTGTAGTTGTACTCTTGCTACTTCTCTCTGAGCTGATTCTTTCTCGAGCAACTAATATCCAGTTGGTGAATTTTACCTAATTGGAAAGAAAAACCCCGTTGGCAAAGTAAAATTCAAGCTAATGAGAAATCAATTAAGTTATAGCTCTTACTCTCTTCACGAATAAGTGAATAGAAATAAAGTTTTTGAATATTCAAGTTTGCTTATAATGAAGTCTTCTGCTAGTGGGATTTTATAGCTCTTTGTCCATGTTTGCAGGTCCTTTTTCAGAATGACTCTCCCGCCGCCCTGCTTGCTAGGGTAATTGGTATCATAGGTCCGATTGATCAAGAGATGCTCGTCAAAGGACGAGATACTTACAAATATTTCACTAAAAATCACATGCTATATGAACGAAATCAGGTAAAGTTTCCTCTCCTTTCCACTCTTTATTTCATTTTCTTTTTCCCTTCCTTTTCTGGGTTGATCACCTATTTTCCCATGTCTTATTATAAGTTGTAACTTAAGTTTATTAAAATAATAAATAGAATATTCCTTTTATAAAATTGCTACAAAATCTACTGTTACTTTTATGATTGTTATTTTAATATAACACGCATTAAGTATATATTTAGAGGTCGTTTGGTATGATGGATAAGCAAAAATAATCCCAGGAAAAAATTTTAGTACCGCCTTATCCCTTGTTTGGTTACTATTCCTGGGATAAGTTATCCCAAGCTTAAAAGAGTTCCGGGATAACTTGTACCAGATGGTGGAATAGTAATCCAGGATAAGTTATCCTAGGATAAAGCAGTAAAATTGACAATCCCAAGACTAATACAACATACCAAATAGTCAATAAGAAATAATATTAGGATAATTAATCCCAACATAACTAATCCCATCATAACTAATCCCAGCCTAACTTGTCTTCAAACCAAACGACCCCTTAAGTTATAATTTCTCAGTGGCAGAGCCAAAAATTCATACAAGAGGTTTTGAAAAGAAACTAAAGTACCATATCTAGGATTTGAACGTGTGACCTAAAATAATTTTTAAACAATTTCACCACTATATTATAATATATTTTTTATTCGCTCATCATTTTCACTACTCAACATCATTAAATTATATGCTTGATTATTATTTTTAATTTTTTTATTTTGAAAATGAGATTATTAGATAGGTTCTTTTTTCAAAATATATATTATTAGAAAAGAGAAAAATATCATGATATAAAAGAGAATAAAAAGAAAAATAGAGATTAATGGTGATAATAAAACAGGTAAAATAGGCATTTTAAAAGGTCAATTGAGAAATGTGGGGGAGAATGTCTATTGTTCAAAGTTGAAGGGGAAGTTTGACTTTTAAAGCAAAGTTGGAGGTATAAATAATTTTCACCCTTATAGGATATGTACATCTCGAGTCCATGTACATAGTCTCGAGGACAGCATATGTTAATCTATGAAAGGCCTTTGGTTTTGATAGTTCTTTATCTACTAAATATTTCCTTGAGTTGAACTTCGACTATGATTTGTAATTTGCTGAAACATTAGTAAACATTGTTGCTGGAGACAGAGACGGATGCAACATAGAGTTACCGGGTTCAACTGAACCAAGTACTTTCGGCGCGGAGCATAATTTTATCTGTAAAAATCAATAAAATTGTAATAAATATATATGAACCCATAACTTTAAAAATATAATGGGTTCAATATTAAAAACTTTAAATATTGAACCCATAGAATTAAAATCTTAGATCTGCCTCTGGCAGGAGACCCTTCAGATCCTTTGTTTTCTATGAGTTGGTTAATTAAGGATGTAACTTTAGCCAAAAATAAAATAAAATTTAATATAATACACACGTCAAAAGATTAGGATTTAATATGTTCTATTTTAGAGAGTTCCACTTCTTTGCCTCCCCTGAGTACAGTGCTTCAAGCACGGATGTTGCTCTGCTTCAGTCTGCTGCTCACTTGTATATTGACCATTCCACTTTTTTCTATTCATAGGAAACAAACAGATTGGAATACTTAATACCCAAAAAGACATCGTTGAGGTATCGATTACCGATGGGAGATCAAGGTTTTATTGATTTTGTGGCTAACCTTTTACAAGTTAACCCAAAGAAGCGACCTTCTGCTTTAGAGGCTCTAAAACACCCATGGCTATCATATCCGTACGAGCCAATATCGTCATGAATTATTTTCTCGGGCAACTAAAGTTTTTCTCCATTGATGACATATGAAGAAAGTCCTCCAAGTTGCATTTTGTAACATTAGAATTTTTTGTTTCTTGTGTTTCATCGAAGGAAATGCGTTCTGTTTGTACATGATGTCTGCTCATTCTTTATAGGTATTTAGCGTGGCTTGTGAAATAGCCGCTTCTCCAATTTTTTTTGGAGTTTGCTCGATTGCTGCAATGTATCAAGAATAGACGATATTTCGCGAAAATATAATGCAAAATGCTACTTGTTTGATATCTTGCTCTGAGTTTTTTCTCCGGTTTGTATGGACTGCAAGTGTAGTTGAAAAAGTTCAACTACTGATATACATATAGTTCAAGAGAGGTGTTCATATGTTCCGTGCAGATCCCTGGTTCAAAATGGGAAAGGAAACAGGATAGTACAACTCTTTATTGCAAAGAAGTCTCCTAAATTATGATAGTAACATGTCTACGGATACAAATTCACTTTGTTACACGTATACTGACAATTAAGCTGTTAAGAAGGAAGGTGCAAACAAAATGGTGAATTAGAAAGCGGAATTAGCTGTCTTGGTTTTCCCTAACAAGACTTCCTTAGCTTCATTGATTTTGGAAGCAATATAATGGCTACCACCGGCGTCTGGATGATTTGCAACCATTACTCTCCTGTGAGCCTCCTTTATCTTCTCCAGGACAGCACTTTCTCTGCAAGGAAAAGAAACCATATATTGGACATGAAGCAATTTAATGTAATTCAACCAATAAATGAGGTCAAGTTTGATTCAAAGTATGCCCAGGCGCAACAATCTGCCTATTGATGAGCAAATTGACCATCAATTCTATTAACCTGACCCTCTAAAGGACTATGCATAATATACATTCTGAAAGTGATAACCTCCTAACAATCTACAAGGGACATTTGTTCCGTCAGATTTATAGCTAAGTAGCTATTGTTCAGGTTCTGCATAATGTGCAATCTAAGTCCTGCCTGATACCCCAAGAATAGAGCAAAAAAGAGACACTTTGGCATCACAAAACAGAACACCATATATATATATATATATATACACACCTGACTCCAAGAATTAATGCTGCTTCCCTTCTTGTCATAACTTGTTCAAACCCACCGGGATAAAACCTCCGAACTCGAGGTGCGGCTTTGAATGTTTGCCATCCTCTTATCAAGTACCTAGCTCCCAAAGCAGCAGCGCCAATCGTAGTTCCCACAACTATCGGAGATGCCTGAAAACAAAGCAGAAACGCATTCATGAAAAACCAAATATGTTTCTACTACAAATATGTTTAACAAGAATAAGACACAAAATATCCAGATCTTTTTTTTTTTTTTTAACAGAGATCTCTAGCGCTTAAACAGGTGTATGTATGCTAGCTCAACAACATCCCTTTAACTTTTAATCAACAAAAATTGCGGTGGAAAACATAATATGTTTTGAGGTTCAATTATGCAATTAAAACTATATGCAGAGAAAATAACGAAGAAAAAAAAAAACGTAATTGCATACGAAAGCTTTACCACGAAATTTCTTAACCTAAAAATATGAAAAGCAGTTACTTTATCATGCCCAAAAAAAAAAAACATGAATTCTAAAAACATGACGAGGATATGGAAAAGGGCAAAGGGTGTATAAACCTAAGCGGCAAAGAACAATATGCTCCCATATCAAACGAAACAAAATTCTTATGCGAAGTAAAACAAATAGAAAATTACCATGAGAAAACGAACAAAACTTCACCAATACCAATGGCCAGTTCAAAGATTTAAAAATTTCCTATATATGGGAACGTAAGCTTAGAGTCTGAACTCGGATTGACAATCAATTACCAATAAATTTGATGGTGTCGATGTTAGAACCAGGGACTTTATATAGGTTGCGTTAAAAAGTTGGCTTGGACATTAAGAAATTGTTGACCCACTAAGATGGCGGTTCTTTCTTTTAGTTCCAGAGGATTCCAGTGTCCGGTTTACCCAATTTTAGCCGGTCCAATATGTAAATTCTATGGGAAAAGGAAAAAGTTTAATTAGCTAAACGGGCCTATGACAAAAAAAAATTGAAAAGTTTTCCTAAGATAAAATGACAAAAAGACCCCTTAGGTTTGGAGTAGGTTTAGATTAGTCCTTATAATATTCCATGTTCATTTTTGGTCATCTAAATTTGTCTAAAATGAGCACTTTTAGTTTCTATCAATTATTTAACAAACTCTAGTTGTATTATATTAATGGGAACTATGATAAAAAATTTAATGAGAACTCATACTTAAACATTTTATAAAGAAAAAAAATTTAATCAACAATCAAAGATATTTAAAACATGTCATATGACAACTAAAATTGTTAAACTGAAAATTCATAAAGTTAGAGGAACGATTTAAAAAAATTATGTATGTAGAGGTGTTAATTTAGATATTATGCACTATGGTCCTTGATCCACCAGCTGAGTAACTCAGTCATCCACCATAATTACAGGGAACAAAATTTAGTGGCGGATCAGTTAACACATCAAGGTTCAACAAAGACAGTTGGTAGTGGTGTTTCACTTTTTGGGGACCCTTCATCAATTGTTTTGGACCTCCTTGAAGCAGACTGCTGGGGAGAAGCAACCACATCATCGTACTGATTTGCAAGACTTTACTAGACACATGTTCATGACTTGTAGAACCTACTTAGAGCTCTGTTACCAACTTGTCACGACCCAAAATCTCACCTAGTCGTGATAACACCTAACCCCAACATGCTAGGTAAGCCAAACAATAAATAACACAACCCAAATGAAAGACCAATAACAAATAATAAATAAGATGGCAAAAAAATCTATACAACTACCCCAAGGACTGTTAGTACAAGTCATGAGGCACTAAGATTTAGATTTACATCATTGTTACGAAGAAAATACAACATATGTTTGAATATACATAAATAGAAGTACAAATCCTAATATACCATGAATAAGTGGTAGTTTATATCTGGAACGCTGGTGCATCTTCAATGCTAGCCTTCGTCATCCACAGATACTCATCAGTACTAACCTTGGTGAAGTAGTGATGAGGTTTTAAGTCATAAGATACTCATTTTACTCAACCCGTACAACTCAATAGTATAAACATGTACACAACAACAATATTGAAATCTAAGCATGAAGTACAAGTAAGGCCATCAGTGCACATAGAGAAAATATGCGCAAGCATTGTAAACAAACTAACACTTCTGCATATAGAGAAGATACACATACGATAACAAGTAACTCGTCAACAGTTTAACAACTCATCATATAGAGAAGTGTAACGACCCCACATGTTATTTGAGTACTAGCTTTTATTTCCATGTTCCAAGACCATTATTAGCTTCATTTGATAATTTTTGATTTGTTTGCGTGTTCCTTGTTGTTTTTCAGAAAGTTTTTTACGTAAATTTTTTAAAAATATGATTTTTGACCTAATGAGACTTGAGTTGACCACGGTCAACATTCTTAGTAAACGATCTCGGACAAGTATTTTGACGATTCTGGAGATTCGTATAATATCTTTGGACTTGTACGCACGTTTGGTTGCTGTCCGGGGTGATCCGAGCGTATTTTGGCGTGTTATGTGAAAAATTGTGAAAATGAGTTTTAAGGTTGAAATTCTTGAGTTTTGATGATTAATTCGTGTTATTTTGATGATTTGAGGTAGCGAACAAGTTTGTAGGATGTTATTACACTTGTGTGCATGTTTGGTTTGGATCCCGAGGGGCTCGGGTGAGTTTCGAGTGAGTTTCGGATGTGTTTGGATGATTATGCAACTGCTGGTGCATTTCAGTTGCTAGTGTTCTGTTGCTGATCTCACATTTACGAGGTCAGGCTCACATTTGAGAGCCTCACTTTTGTGGTCAAACGATCACATTTGCGAAATGGGAGCTGGGACTGGGATTCCGCATTTGCGAACAATTGTTCGCTTTTGCAATAAGGTCTGGGATCGCTTTTGCGATCCTGAGGTCGCATTTGCGATCCTGGGGTCGCATTTGCGATACCTTGCTGAGTGGAGCAGCTTCCTATTTGCGAAGCTTGACTCGTATTTGCAAGGGGCTTGTCCTTCGCAAATGCGAAGGTTTTGTCGCATTTGCGACTTTTGAAAGATTGTTGCACTAGTCGCTTTTGCGATCAGTGTTTCGCAAATGCGGGCTTCGCAATTGCTAAAAAAAGTTCGCAATTGCGATACCTGCAACTGGGTAAAAGAGTAAAAAATCAGGACTTAGCTCATTTCACTATATTTTTCAACCCTAAACACTCTAGAGGTGATTTTCTCGAGAGCTTTTCTTCCAAAATCATTAGTAAGCAACTTAACTAGTTTTTAATCAATTCCCATTACCTTTCATGCATTTTAACATCAAATCTAGGAATTTCATGGTAGAAATTAGGGGGTTTGGGTAGGATTTAGGAATTTTATAAAATTAGAATTTAGACCTCAAATTGAGATCGAATTTCGAAACAAATCACATAACCGGGTTCATGGGTGAATGGGTAATCAAATTTTTTTTTTCGGATCTCAAATTTTGACCAAGCGAGCCCGGGGTTGATTTTGTTGACTTTTTCAATTTCATCAAAGATTGAACCTTTTTCATTCATGAGTAGTTTCAAAAGCTTTGATGATAGGCTATAATCTCGTATTTTAGTCACTTACTGCACTTTAATTCACTGCACTTTACTTATGTTAAGCTTTAATTGGTAGTGTTTTGCACTTATTGTGTGTTTTATGCCTTGTAGGAGTGATTCCGAGCTGTGTAGATATTGGGGAACTAATTCAAGCTATTTGGAGCTTTGAAGTTTGAGTAAAAGCCCAAGGGATTAAGTCGGAATCGTGTTTGGGGGTCGAGGACCAAGTCTGGACGTCAAAACGCAAGCAAAAAGCATAACTCTGAGGAAATTGCACTGCCGCGGCGCATAAACTCCCACAAAATTATGGAGACCCATGGAATTTTACTATACCTTGCTATTTAGGAACTATTAATTTTGATAAGTCTTTATGTGATTATTGTGCCTCAATTAATTTAATGCCTCTATCTATTTACAGGAAACTGGAGAAGGAGATTGGAGAGATAAAGTCTGCACAAATATCATTGCAGCTGGCATACCAAACGACTTTAATACCCGAGGGGATAGTGGAAGATGTGTTATTTCGGGTGGATAAGTTCGTATTTTCTGTGGATTTTATAGTGGTGAACATGGAGGAAAACAAGGAGGTCCCTCTCATCCTAGGAAGACCATTCTTAACGACGAGCAGAGCGATATTAGATATACATGAGAGAAAACTCATGCTTAGAGTGGGTGAGGAGACTGTAACTTTCAAGATGAATGTAGAAAAGGGGGTGCAAAAAGGAACACCAACTGCGAGTGGTGAGTGGAAAGTGAAGGGCTCGAAAGAGAAGGTTGCGGTTAGTGAGAAAGATAAGTGTGAGGTGTACCCCAAAAAGGTTGAGAAGAAGTTATCTGCATGGATGTGTGCTTTAGTTCGGGCGCGAGGAATGGAGCCCGACTTCGACTCAGACCCCGACTATATATTCAGGAAAGTTTCCTTTACCTTATGCTTTTTAATTGTGTGTCATGAGGATATGCCACAACTTAAAGTGTGGGGTGGGGGATATTTGTATGTATGTATATTAATTTTCTTTTTGTTAGTGTAGTTAGGAGAGATAAAAAAAATTAAAAAAAGGAGATTGTTTTAATTTTTTTTGATTTTTTCCGACGATGGATATCAGCGACAGGTTTCCTGATGGATTAAAGTTAAAAGAAAAAAGATAGAGATTTTCTTTTATAGGTAGTGTAACAATTCTCCCTTGATTTTTCTTTGTGCCGCGGTTGTTTTCAAGGTTTTTTTTGTTGAACCGGATGTAGTTAGTTTTTATTTTTTTAGGAGTAGAAAATCTTGTGCTATGATTTGAAATGAAGGAAATATCTCTTGACTTTGTTATGCCTTGAGAATAGTAAGTGCTTTAATTGTGACGCTTAGGCTCAGTTTTTGACTCTTGTATAAGTACCTTAATTTGTATGATCTTAACTTTGCTTAACTGCTTTCACTAGAGTGTCTTGATGAGTCCGATCTTGAGTGAGTTATGTGCCATGTGTGTGAGGTTTTGTGTTATTCTGTGCATTGCATTGATGTCTATAACTTGCCCCGTTTGTGTGCAAAGAGAAATAGTAGTTTTATTCCATCTTAGAAGGGACATATGCATTTCTTTGTTGAGCCAAATATATGCTATTACCCACCTAATTATTATGTATCGTAGTTAAACCCGTTGAGTCTATAATCATGTATTTTTGGCAACCACATTACAAGCCTTACTCATTTGTTTAAATTGACCATCTATTTGAACCTTGTACCTCTCGGGAGCACTTGAATTTGTTATAAACTTTGTAAAAGTTAAAGTGTGGGGTGGTTGGTCTGGCTTTTGTGTGGAACTATTGAACTAAGGAGAAAGGCGCACTGTTGTGAAAAAGTAAGAGCCACTTGAATTGAAAAAGAAAGAAAAAAAATAAGTGTATGATTGTGAAAAATATTCCTTGATTGTGGTAACTTGATCTAATTGTGCTTAAAGAAGTAGGTAGTTAATGTATATTGATGTGAAGGTGGAGTTATAGTTTGACATAAGTTTGGGGTTTTGAATGGTTAAGTGAATGTATTAAAGTGCTTAGGGAGGTATAGTCACTCGTATATCCAAATGTATCCTACCCACCCCGTAGCCTACATTACAACCAATTAAAGCCCTACTTGATCCTTGACTGAATGAGCTCAATTAGTAGATTAGTACACTACGGGCAAGCCTATGGTACATCTTTTGTGGCATATGAATGTTGTTTCTGAGAGTGAGCGAATTCTTTCTAATTGTTCTTAAATCGTATTGTGTGTTGAACTACTCTCTATTGTAGTGTGAGGGCTGATTCCGAGCTATGTAGAT